TGAAATCTGTAGGTGATTTGATAGTGAAACTGAAGCCAAGGAGACTCAGCTAAATTGAACTATTATTGATAAGGCACTAAAATTTAGAATAATTATAGAATTTCTTTTATCCAAATATTAATATTCAAGAAAACAAATTAATTTAAAATAATTAAAAACATATGCCCTTCCTAGGCAAATATAATTATGTCAAGTGATAGTGAATTTATCAGGAAAAATACACAATAATGGTGGAAACTTAGGAAAGCTCAAGAACCTGCTTGATTTAAATGGGTCATCGTTGAAAGCAGTTTGGCTCAGTGGATAGAGCTTCGGCCTGTAGATTGAAGAGTCCCAGGTTCGATTCCAGTCAAGGGAATGTACCTTAGTTGCGGGCACATCCCCAGTAGGGGGTGTGCAAGAGGCAGCTGATGAATGTTTCTCTCTCATCAATGTTTCTAACTCTCTATCCCTCTTTCTTCCTCTCTATAAAAAATCAATAATAATAATAATTATATATATATAAATATATATATATATATATATATATATATATATATATATATATATATATATATATTAAATGGATCATGGACTCCAATTCCAAGAATCCTGCTCAATAGCCTCACTTTCAGGTATGTGTTCTACACCACATAAAATAAAAGACAAAACAAAATGAAGCATTTCCCCAATGAAATTATCTTATTTGAAATAACAAGGAATAGATGATAGATGTAACCATTCTTCTTATAAGGTGGACCTTTAGAATAATTTTCCAAATGTTGCTCATGTGATCTTCCTTTATGGGAATGAAGAATACACTGGCCATTCACTAGCAGTATGTTATTACTGTCATTATGAATCCATTAGATATATTCAGGCGAGCTGAGTTACAGCCTTGTGACCAAATTCTTCTCTAGCTTTAAATGTAGCATTTAATAGAACACAAATTACTTCTTATTTATTTTTTCATATAGTAAATATTCTAAGAAAATGTAGAAGTCTTCTCCTTTGCCCTTTGATAGCAATAGAAATGTTAAATGTAGTGAAGTTTCCGTATTAAGTTACTGCATTTGTTTATATAGTAACCAATAAAGCATAGCTATAACTGATAAAACTAGTAGTAGAGATTATTAAATCTAGAATAGTCGATCCTAAGTGTAAAGTTTGGGGAGTGTTGGGGGAGATGTCTAATGCTTAATAAGAGTATGCAGTTTCCATTGTTTTTGGAATCTTTATTTCCCTTCTATAAAAATGGTATAAAACACATGCACACATGTACAGATAATACAAATACACACATGCTTTTGTTTGTGAAAGAGACAGGTAGCATGGTTGCAGTAGACTTTATCTGAGTTTGAAAGTTATGTTTGGAACACTCTAGTCTAGTTCTGTACTGCCTTTTTGTGCCCAAAGGCTCTTTCTACTAAGTCTGTTTTACCACCCTTGGCACATAGGACATGCAAGAGCATTTAACCAGGGACTAGCAGCTGGAGTCTTTATATCAGCTTCCTTAACCCTTGAGTAGAATAACCCTGAACTATGTGTCCTATACTGGCTGCCAGAGTCTCTCAAATGAAAATAAATAAATAAATAAATAAATAAATAAATAAATAAATAAATAAATAAATAAAAAAAAATAAAAAGGTCCAGTCACTCACCATGGCAGCTGGCATTAGTGACTCCCCCGTGTTTTTTCCATAGTCTGCTACGGATAGTCCTTTACCTCCCAAATAAACTACTTTCACTTAAATCCTTGTCTTACCTTCGGTGTCTGCTTCTAGAAAAATCTAGATTAAGACATATGCCAACCATATGACTTTTAATTTAATAACCCTGGGAATATTTGAAATTTTAACTTAATACTTAGGTACAAATTACAAATCATTTTGCTTACACATTTTTATTGTGATTTAATACGTTGTTCAAGTTTTTTATAATGCCCTACACCAATAATAGATGAGCTATAAAAATGTAGGTATGAGATGTAGGCATATGTTTGCCTTAAAATTATGCCAGGCTATTTAAAATACTACTAAATTTAGCATTAATTTTTGCCAGTTCAGCTGTGTTTTACTAATCCTCCTCTGAGGATATATTTCCCCCCAAGATGTTTAGAGAGAGTGGAAGGGAGGGGAAAAGACAGAAAAAGAAAAAAAGAAACATTGATGTGAGAGAGATACATCCATTGATTGCCTTCAACGTGCCCCGACTAGACCAGAGAAAGGGATTTCAGCCTGCAACTAAGGCATGTGCCCTTGACTGGAACTGATCCCAGGATCCTTCAGTCTGCAGGCTGACGCTCTAGCCACTGAACCACATGGGCTCGGGCTAAACTGCGTTTTAATCATTGTGTTAGCCTTATAATGTTCTTAAATGTCATAAAAATAGTAAGCAGTGTTTCTGCTTGTTATGTATTGATATTCTGCCAATAGCAATTGATCAATTTGTTAATTTTGTAACATTTATCCACAAGGAACAATGGGAACAGTCAAAATATTTCCCTTAACTTTTAAAATACTTAAAAAAAACAAACCAAACATATTACTATCCTTCAACCATCTAGGAAAATCACTCACTTCCATCACTCCATCACAGCTTCATTTCAAATTCAGCAGAAACCTAAGACTTAAAGCTGCCACCTCACTCATGTTTCCATGGGAATAGACCTCAGATCAGGGAAAAAGAAATGAATGGGGTTAGGAGCTCTCACATAATCATTCAAAATCACGATGAGAGTTTTAGAGCGTCTTTCTTAGGTGATGATTTTGTAGCCTCTTAACCCCTTTTTGCCAGTCTGTTTCCATGGAAATATGACAAAAATGGCTGTACAAGCTTCCTGCAGAGACCATTAGTGTTCTTGTGAATTTCAGCTTCCGCTGCAGCCAAGGCTGGGCAAGATCTTTTCTCTATCAGTTTTACATATTCACAGACACTGTTTCTACACTTGGGCATTTCCTTTCTCATTTCCACTGTCTTTGAAAATTCTTTTCACAAATTTATAGCAAGATCAAATTGATTAGTGATATCGCTGAGAAAGGCTTCAGTTTTACATTTTAATATATGAACCAAGACATGTAGCCACAGAGTGTCGGAACTTGTAGAGACCTACAGAAGGAAACACTATTCAATTACTAGACTCAAAGTCTGATAGATAGGCTTGGTGTTATTATCACAATTAGCTCCTTGATGGTAATAACAGGAAGAAAGCAGAGGGGAGGCCAGACATTGCAAGCATGACCCCCTGGGCAGCTTCACAAGGAAGCTACAGCTTCACACTCCCCAGGGAAATGGGGAAGGGATCTGAGCAAACAAAGGGCTGGACATGCACAGTGAGGTCAGAGTGACAAAGGGGCGGTGTTTGCCTGTCAGTCTAGCCTGGATACAAGGATCATTGGCTTGGAGGGTGGGAGCCACTACAAAGGTGGAAAATCTTGGAAGGGAAAAAATACTCAAAGAGTCTTCTTACTCCTTTTTCCCTCACCTGCCCTCTTGCTCTGTGACCTGCATTCACTCTGTGCTCACCTGTTCTCTCTCTATAGCCATGTGGCCTGGATTACAGCTGGAAGCACAAGCTAAGCTAGCCAGAGGCTGACTAGACTGGGCTGCATTTTCATTTGGAACAGATATTCTGGCAGTGGCCTTGACCCTGGCCCTGCTGAAGACAAGACTGAGCTTTTTCAATGGCAAGGCGGGATGTTGGAGGGAAACCCCCTTTATTTGATATCATCAAGCTTCCTATGAAACCCTGTCCTCCCACAAGGACCTCTGGAAATAACCTTCCTCATGGGCACCCCAAGAATTCCCCTTCCACAGATAACACTGATAGAGATGTAACAGGGTGATGAACTTATTTAGTCATTGACAAGGCACAACACCAACTGATCAGAGCAGCAGGTTTGTCTTAGCTCATTATCAGTCAAATGACTACCAACAATAATTTAAACTAAAAGTAGTTCTATATAAGATGGTTAGGCACCCTACCCAGATAAAATGTCTAAGGTCACAAACTGAGCTCCTATAAAATTTTCAAAAGAGTTTATAACAGAAACTGGGTAGAAATAACAGCATGCTACATGTATAACTTCATTTCGACTAACCTACTGAAATTTGCTGAACAGTTCAATCCACAATTTTTGCCAGGGGAAATCTTAAAGTTCTGGTTGACCATATAAAGTACTTTTAGTTTTCAGAACGCTCTTATTTTATAGCTACAGTTTTTATCTTTAAGATATTGTCTTCTGCCGAAACAGGTTTGGCTCAATGGTAGAGCATCGGTCTGCGGACTGAAAGGTCCCAGCTTCGATTCCGGTCAAGGGCATGTACCTTTCTTGCGGGCACATCCCCAGTAGGGGGTGTGCAAGAGGCAGCTGGTCGATGTTTCTCTCTCATCGACGTTTCTAGCTCTCTATCTCTCTCTCCTCCTCTCTGAAAAAATCAATAAAATATATTTAAAAAAAAGATATTGTCTTCTAAACTTGAATTGAATAAAAGTAAATTTCAATTGGATAATTACCTGATTTAGCTAGATTCCTAATTTACACTCCCTACAAACTAAGTTACTACATTAATTACTCTCTATTGATATTTTCAACTAAACAGGCCATAATAACAATAATATCCAGCAGCCTGAGTAATTTTTCAAATCACCATCACTACTCCCAAATGTAGTTTGTCATCTTAAACACATGGCCTTAGATGTGTTCAATTAGCCAAGTCTGTCCTTCAGGTTGTTTGTGTAAATCAAGTTTTACTGAGAGACGGTCACATCCACTTCTGTGTTTTCTCTCTCTATGGCTGCATACTTACTAAAAAGACAGAGTTGAGTAGCTGCTGCAGAGAGACCATTGCACAAATGCCTATTTATTCTCTGTGGTCTTTTAAGTAAAAGTTTGTGACCCCAATTCAAACCTTTAATTTTAATAAGATTATAACTATTTTCGAGTCTTTTTTTTTGTTTTAATTCTAAAAGCAGTATCTTAAGAATCGACCAAAATGAGATTGCCTATGTCTGTACTTACATCCATGAATTCCACATTGGCTTTGGGACCAGTTGTTTCATTAAGAATCTTAATAGCCACAGGAATCTTCACTGTTTCTCCTTCAGGTACCCAGATACCCTTTGAGAAAAAAAAAATTCACATTAAATCTTTATTGAGACATATACAATATTCAATCTAGGAACAAAATTTGATTTAACACTCAACCTATTAATTCCTTGAACATAATTTACAAGTTCTATATTCTTTCATGTGATTAACAAATATTTATCAAGCACCTGTTATATGTTACAAGTTACTTCTCCACTTTGTTTGTCTGCTTTTGTTATATGAAGATGAATTGTGCATGTATTCTGCTTTCAGGGTGTTTACACTAGGATAAAATTCCATTTGTGTGCATAAAAAGTCAGTGAATAGTGAAAAATCATTGAATCAAGATATAATAAAATATTTTATGTGAATTATATCATCAACTTTCCAAGACTTTTAGAAGGCTGTTCTAATTTTTGAACTTCAAATTGTCTCATTTGTAATTGAGAAGGTTGGACTAAGTAATATAAGAGGTTCTTTGCAGCTTTAATATTATCTAATTAATTCTGAAACCAGAAAAAGGAAAAAAAATGTTCTCATGTTCCTGAAGTTTGATTTACAAATTAATTTTCTAAGGTGATTATTTAAGAATTAGTTTCCAAAGGCAAATACTAGGGAGTATTAAGCACATATTAATTTGTCTATATTATTAAATAGTGTTGTGTATCAAGAATTTTTATCTCCAAAGTAATATAAAATATTTAGTTTGGCCACTGCCAGTTCTTCCTTCTTATGGAAATGTAATTATAATATCTGAGTAGGATCTGTATATTGGGAAAGTATACAGAGTTTAAATAAAGTACAACATTAAACTAAATAACAGCATTTCTGCATAAACAAATAACTCATTTGAATAAGGACCATGATTTTGGTAAGGCTTAGTTGGATGTGTGTATTACACAATACATTTTTTTTTCATTCTCAAATTATATTGAAAGAATATTCAACTATCAGGTGTCAGAATGCTGGTTGAGGAAAAAATGATCATTCTTTAACAGATGACAAAGATTTTAATTAAAAAATATTGAGATCTTTTGTGTACCACACCATTTATTGGGTTTCTCATAATACTCTGAGGTAGGTGCTTTTAAAAAATATTTTTATTGCTTAAAATATTACAGATGTCCCTTGCTTCCCCCATTGACCTGCTTTACCCTGCCCCCCCAGCCTACACTAATTTCTGTCTCCATGGGTTATGTATCAAAGTTCTTTGGATAGTTTCTTCCAACTCCCTTCTCCCCTTCCCTCTGAGATTCATCCATGCTCTGGATCTATTTTGTCAGTTTATGTTGCTCATTAGATTCCACATATGAGTGAGATCATGTGATACTTGTCTTTCTCTGACTGGCTTCTTTCGCTTAGCATAATACTCTCCAACTCCCTCCATCTGTCTCAAAGAGTAAGAGATGCTTCTTTTTATAGCTGCATAGTATTCAATGTTGTATATGTATATTTACACAATATACAAGAATATTTATGAAGTATATTGTCTCAAATAAGCAAATATGAAGTTGTATTTTTAAAAATCTTATTTTTTTAAATTTGTTAGCCCTGACATTGAAAGAATCTTCTTAGGTCAGTTTTAACATTAAGATGAAAGAAAGAAAAAAAAACACAACACACACAAAAAAATAATAGTCTGTGATTCCTGAACAGAACATCTCTATTTAATGTCTTTCTTAAAGTTGGCTGGTTATAGTCATAAAGAAGAGATTAAACTTTTTCCACATTGTACTTCTATGCAAAATATGTATTGGTGATACCCAAAGTTGTAATAAAGTAAGGGGTGGTCTAAACAAGAATTATTAAAGAGTCAAAATAATAAAGAAAAAAATGGATGTTAACCTTTAGAAGATGAATATAAAGGTTAAATTCTTTTTAGAATGTAAAGGGAAATCTGTATATCAAGTGCAAAAAAACAAAAAACAAAAACAATTTCCCTGTTGTATAACAATTTTCAAAAATTATTAATGCTTAAATGGGGAGGAGGGAGGAACAATATCATAGGCTACATTTTTCTCACTGATGGTACCCATGGTAGAGAGCACACTTACCATTTTTCAATAAGGTAACATCAGAGAGATTAACCTATAAAGCTATTGCATCAATATTAAAATATTTCAAAAGGATACTTTTGAAGTAAAAATATGAATTCAGTGTTAACTAATTTGCAATGCTTTTTTAATAAGTATAGTCATTAATTTCTAGGTCCCACCAGACGAAGATACCCATAATATTGGTTCAAATCTTTTATGTTTAAACAGAGAATATATCCAACCAGGAGAAATAATTAACCAAATAATTGCCAAAGTCAATCTGCACTTGTATAGTCAAAAAAATTTCTTTATAGTTTAAACAGTATGCCCTTGTAAGAATGAACATATTATTTAAGACATAGGGTAAATGATAGACACACTACAGTTATCACTCAAATATACTTATGGAACGTTCAATAAACTTTCAATGCAAGTAATTTTCATAAAAGTATAATATCATGGTTAATAGACAAATATTTGTTCTTAGTGAAAATATTAATAAAGCTTTTTAAAAATACCTAAATGGGTAATATTTTCCCTGTTGAGATCACAAGATCATATATAGTATTGAGTCATATGGTACTTATAATTTAAAATAATATTCAATTTCCAAATCATATAATTTTTTAAAAAAATATAAGGGTGATAGTCTTTTGGAAACAATTAATGACTGAATTGTCTTTAAAATGGAAATTCATTTATTTTCTACATTAATAAAAATAGAGGAACAGGATAAATTGTGTTTCTTTGAACATACAAAAATGCTATGAAGAAGGCATTAAGTAAGCCTAGAGTCATTTCTATTCAATTACATGTTTAGTTAATAATTTCAATAGCCAATGTTACCCCAATAATTCAATAAAAATTCAAGGAAATAAAAATAATGATAATAATAGTAATTTTGAATTTAATTGAATAAAACATGTATACTAAAATATTAAGAAACTTAACCTTAGAATAAAATAATTTTATTTTAAAGAAATTCTATTGCTTTTGAAACATTCAGTATGGAAAATTAAAATTTATAATTTAATTGTCAAAATGTTCTGTTTAAAAATTTTGTCTTAAATAGAAAAAATTAAACATTTAAAAATGCAAAATTTTTAAGATCCCTATATAACTCTTAGGTTTATAAAAATGTAGGCTTGCATGTAGCTTTAAGAAATATATAAAACTGGCAAAGTAAATTTGGAAATTGGAATAATGACTATTACAAGAACTATATAACACTGACCAAACAGATTTTTTTTTCTTGTTAATTACCTTTAAAAGTAAATTTCACCATTGTTAATCGTGGGCCTGGACTCTGAATTGGTTTTGTGATTAAACTAAATAAGTAAATATGCAAATGCCATCATTTGAACTCTCCCTTTCCAGAAATGCTTCTCTTATTGAAAATGCATGATGTCACCCTCTCCTGCCTGACCTGAATTCACAAATATACTCACTTTTTTAGTTTTCATACAATGGTGAGGACATTAAATCTGGATATTTTCCTATTAAATCATACATGTTACCAGAAAGACAAAAAGTGGTTTAGGTTCTAGTCCTCTCCTACTAAGGAGCCAGCACATTTTGTGGGTTCTAAAGAGATTAGCTAAATGGGGAGATATTTGAATGAAAGAGAGGAAAAGGAGAGGGGGCGATTGAGACATATACCTGCCTGTCTAAGATTTTGTAGAGCTCTGTGCAGGAGACAGGAAAATGGGATGGGAGCTGGATATTTTGGATGAGGATAAAATTTATCAGAGGGGAGATGATATCAAAAGGAGATCCAAAGGTTGTTGAGAGGAAGAACCAAACTTAGGCTTTGTACCAAAGTTTTCTGTTCTCTCACATGTGTACCCATTCCCATCTTGATTAATAAAAACTAATGAATTCATTTGTGCATCAACATCTCCATATTATAAAGCTTCTCCTCTCTGGACATTAAAAGGGAATTAAGTTGATTAGAGCAATAACCCTGGCTATTCATTAAAACACGTATGGGGAAAACTTAAAAGGACTGGTGGTACATCCGGATTTTTTACTTACCTTATACACGGTTCCGAAAGCACCTGAACCAAGTACTTTGACTCTTTTGAGTTCAGTTTCTTTCAAAATGCGAAGCTGAGCCTGATTGGGCGCTGTGCCACTGGGAGTTAAGGGTTCTACCAACTAAAAAATAAAGAAAAAGACAGGTTGCAACTCCCAATCCAACAATCAGCGCTTCTCTTTCTTTCTCTATCCCTCGCTGGTTCCCATTCTCACACCTACAAAACATGCAAGCTCACTTTTCCTTGAAAAACTATATTTTTGTAATATGGATGCGACCATTCCTTCAGACCCTATCCTTTCTCTTCTCATGCTCTTTGACTTGGTGAGCTCAGGTAACAAATGTGTGTCTACCTGGAGTTACGCTGAGCTAGGAGGTTCCCACCCCCCATTTTTAGGAAAACGTAGAGACTAATGAGAGGCTCTTCATTCTACTTTTCCAAGCCCCTTTCTTTTTGGCATTTCCAGCTAAGACTTGGATGCCTGCATACTCGAGTGAAGTTTTCTTTCTCATTTAAGATGGTTTGGCACATAAAAACATGAAATGGTGCCTTCTTGGCACTTAATAGCCAGGGTAAACATGTCAAGAGAGAGATAGAGATAGAGATAGAGATAGAGATAGAGATAGAGATAGAGATAGAGATAGAGATAGAGATAGAGATAGAGATAGAGATAGAGATAGAGATAGAGATGAGAGAGAGAGAGAAAGAGAGAGAAAGAGAGAGAGAGAGAGAGAGAGAGAGAGAGAGAGAGAGAGAGAGAGAGAGGAAGAGTTAGCACAATGCCAAAGACATTGTTTTTATTTGTTTTAAAAAATATATTTTATTGATTTTTTACAGAGAGGAAGAGAGAGGGATAGAGTTAGAAACATCAATGAGAGAGAATCATAGATCAGCTGCTTCTTGCACACCCTCTACTGGCGATGTGCCTGCAATCAAGGTACATGCCTTTGACCAGAATCAAACCTGGGACCTTTCAGTCTGCAGACCAATGCTCTATGCACTGAGCCAAACCAATTTCGGCTTGGACTACCGAAGGTCTTGTATATATGCATATAAGTACAACCAATGGAGGGTATGTATGGGAGAGGGGGCAATGGTAAAATATGTACACAGATAATAATTTAATAAAAAACAAAACAAAAAATAAAATAAAATACTAAATTAAAAAAAACAAACTTCCATGTACATATCAATTACTTGAAGCCCTTGCTAAATGGTTCAGTAGTTCTGCAGCTGGGGGCTGAAATTTGCATTTTACAGAACTCCCAAGTGGTTCTTATGTATGATGATGGTCCCCAATCATATTTTAAGTAGAAGGACCCAGGTATCTTCTAGATAAAAAATTCTGTGAATGGATTCTAGATCATGAGTAAATACTAGGAGATGCAAAGGACTAAAACTATACCAAGAAGTGAGATTCATGCGGTTTGGTTTCCTGAAGGAAGAACACTAAAACTGTTCTTGAGATGATAAAAAGCAGGTTGTCATGAAAGATGACATTGCAACCATGAACAGTTTAGACACAGCACCAAGGAGAAGGAAGATACCACAGGGAGTGGTACAGGTCTGAAGGGTGGGGACCACCAGAACATGATGTGGACTAGGTGTGGTGGAAGGAGGTAAAATTAGGCTGGTCCTGTTAGCTGTCATAGTGTATGTGCCATTCAGCCAGAGAGAGTGAATAGGAAGAGGAAATGGATGCAAATGTGTGCCAATGGCTTGCTTATGTGAGAAAAAAATATGTAGACAATGAAGAGACCTTGGCACCACAATGTCTATATCCTATCTTCAAATGTTAGGTGTTTAATTATGCTTAAGGAAAAGGCAAGTGAAATGGAAGTTGCTTTTTAAAAAATTAAATAAAGGAGCTAAATTTTAAACACAGACAAATAGCTTGTTCTTTATCAGCACAAGGGGGTAATTAAGGGCTACACCTACTCAAATTATCTTGAAAACCAGCACAATATTTCAAGATGTCTGTTTATAGGGGTTAGTGCATGTGGCCCTCCAGAGTGGTTATTATTAAACTTCTGTGAACATCATGGTTCAGTGAGCAGGCTCAACAGAGTGTTGGATGTAGGTAAGCTTAGCCATGGCAAGAATTTTGGGAAGAAAATGATAAAAATTATCTATAAACATATGTTGTTTTTTAACGGTCTGACAACTAATACACTTTTATTTCATCTTCAAATTTACATTGTTAAAATACATAACTGCATTTAAGTGACATAAAAAAAATCTGAGAAACAATCCCCAAATTCTTTGTTAAATCTGAAAAAGGCTCTCCTAAAGAGATTCCCCTTGATTCGTCTCTGTTGTGTAGCATTTGGTTGGTCCATTTTGATAAACACACAATGAGTAAGTTTTATGAATTATTTTTAAAAACCCTGTACAAAAGTCAAATAAAATCATCTGCAAGATTAGAGACTAGATTTCCTACGTTAGGCTATATATATGAATATTCTATACCATATTATGCTTAAGGAATAATTATAATTGTAATATATATCGTATCCATACTTTGGCATATATAATGTGATAATTTCATATTTTGAAAGCTTCACAATCCTACCCAAGATGTTTAGTCTCTTACACATTCCTGGGATATCATTTAAAATTGTCTTAAAACATGTTGTTTCTTCCCTCTCCGCCCCAGGAATTTGAGTATTATACCTTTAATTAAAGCATAGTTTCATTCTGTGAGCCAAAATGGTGGAGTTTAGTCATAGGTTTATATACCAGGACTACCATTCATAGGCTTAGAAACAACTTACCCTTCATGCCCCTTCACCCCACATCAGTGAAACAGGTATACCAATAATTACCTTAGAAGATTGCTACGGAAGGCAATGGTTTACAATACTGAGTGAAACCTTTGGAACATTGCCTGTCATATGTAGGATCTGAAACTGTCACTCTTCCAGGGGTAGGATCAGCTGTCATTAATACATTACAGCATCTATCAAAGCATCAAGCTTACAGTGCATCTCAGTAAGTATGTGTTGAAAAAATATACATTCCCTACTTTTATTTTGTAACAGAAGAAAGACAAAATCTGAAGCAAAAGTTTTGGAAAAGTATGTCACTTGAAATGCATTCCAATATACCATGCTTTATCAAACTGCTCACTAGTATGTGAGTCAAATTTTCAACTTGGATATTAAGGATTTAAGTCAATCCTCTTAAAAATTCCTCTTCTATTGCCCAACCAGCATGACTCAGTGGTTGAACATTGACCTATGAACCAGGAGATCATGGTTCAATTCCCAATCAGGACACACGTCCAGGTTGCAAGCTTGATCCCTAATGTGGGGTGTGTAGGAGCAGCCGATCAATGATTCTCTTTCATCATTGATGTTTCTCTCTCTCTCTCCCTCTCTAAAGTAATAAAAATATATATTTTAAAAATCCCCCTTATTTTAGATAATAAAAATCATAGGTATTTACTTTTACTGAGAGAAAGATAGGAATGAATTCGATAATTATCTAATTTAGTACTACATACCTTTCTACATAAGTAGAATTTATAGATAACTTTCTACGTAATAGAATTTACTTTTGGAACCAATCAGTATGAGTTTATTTAATAATAAAATGCCGATTTGAAGGACATTCTTAGAAAGCACCATATTAATAAAACAAAACAACTCTTCCTAACAATGAGTTTTTCTGCACCTGGTTAAAAGACATAATTTCTCTCCTCTATATTCAGTTACCTAAATGTCTACTGCTTTCCTGAGCCTTCAATTCCTCTCCAAATCTTATTTATTCGCTTTCCAGAATTCTCTCACTGACTGCCCCAAGCTAAACACGAGGGAAATTCTATCTGCCTCCGGCATCCTACCTAAGCTGAAAATACACACAGCACACACACTGTGCTCAAACTTATTCACATGTGTGAGTGTGAAACCAAGATGCTCTGTAAACATCCAGCTCAACTAGAAATCATTACTATGCTGTCCTGTGTATACAACTAACTTCCTTTTTAAAGTTTACACATGTCTTTTGATGGGACTGCCCATTCTAATTTTAGATAACTCTAATCCTTAGAAAGCATTTTAATATATGTAACTATAAAGTAGCTTCTTCTATCAATTATAATTATGATTTCTTGAGAAAAAAGCTAAAATTTAATTCATTATCAGTGTGCAAAATGTATGAATGAATGAATGTTTCAATTTCTGTTATTGTTAAGAGAAAAATCTAGACTGGCACACTGACAATTAGTAAAAAAAAAACAAAAACACAAATCCCAAGGAAGGCTGTGTCTCAGAACAGATTAACTCTGAATAGCTCAGCCTGGCAGGAGAGTGTGTATCAGGAGGCAGCGACAGTATGCCAGTTAGGACGAATCTGGTAACACATATTCCTTTGTAATTGTTTTCCCCCTATAACCAGGACAGTGAAAGCTATCAGCTTCCATGCTAGGGAACTCAGTGTAGCAATAGAAAAGAAATTATAATACTATGTGGTAATTTACATATTCACAATGACTGACAGACACAATATTAAATGCATCTCATAAATTGGGCGATAAGGTCTGTGTGATTACAACACTAAGCTTTCTCCTGGAAGCTCAGCCTTTCTCTGCTGGAATAAGGACCCCAATTAAAGCATACACTGCTTGCCTACCTGGCTTTATTTTGAACTAGAAAAATTCTGTTCCTAACATTTTTCTAGATATGCTACTAAGATATCCTCTATCCAGATCATGTTAGACATACTAGAACTTGGCAATTGGACGCTGCCCCCACAGACACAGTGCCTTTTCCTCAATACGGTGATTTTCTTGACCTCTGCTTTTTATCTCTTTAAGCCATGAACCTGCCTTGACTACTGTTACTATACACTCCCATATTTTTTTCATCAAATTTATATAGCATACTATACAATATAAACCCTCTGAACCAAATTTTCACTTGGACTAAAAACTGAGTGTTTTATAAATCCTCTAATCCTAATGAGAATCCCGAAACATGCGAGGAGAAGACAGAAGCAGGTGACCTCTGTTTCCAGGAACCTCCTCAAGGCTCTTTTCTTCCTGATGCTCTTCCTTCTCGCGTAGACCGCAACCGTGAGAGCCACGATGACCAGGATGAAGAGCCCGCCAATGACCCCGGCTGCGATCAGAGGAGTTCTGCCAACCGGAATGGAGACGAAGGGAAAAAAAAAAACAGTATGAAGTGAGAAAAGACAGAGGAAGATCAAAGAGCAGTTGTACACAGCCACATATCACACATCTAGTCAGTTAGAAGATGCAATAAAAATAAAAACGCATTAGAGCCGTGACAAAACTTTTATGATAAAACAGGTAGTTTTTTTTTTTTTTTTTCCCGAATAACAATCCATGCACATACAACTCATTTTGGGAGATGAGCAGCCACAACATGCAATTTCATATAAAAGTATATTTAGAATGTGGTAACAATGAAGAGCTCAGGCCAAAATGTTAATATAGGAGCATTCTGAATTATTTTAATGTAACTTTACCTACAAGTGAATGAAAAATACATCTTAATTAGATTGTGGTATTATGTAATATTATTTTCAACAGTTTCTCTAAAATAGGCTTTCTCAACAGTGGCACATTTGGCATTTTGGGCTTGATATTATATTTGTTGTGGGGGGCTGGCTTGTGCTTTTTGGGATGGTTAGAAGCAGCCTTAGCCTCCACCCACCAGATGGCAGTAGCACCTCTGACCTCCGGTCATGATGCTACCTCCAGACATTGTCAAATGTCTACACAAATCACGACTTGTTGAACCCCACTCCTCTGAAATATGAGGGTACCAATAAGAGAGAGGCATTGGCAGAAGTTCTATTTCAAACTCTGGCAAAGGCAACTCTGTTGACAGGAGAAAGATAAAAAGTGAATCAGACAGAGTTATGATGACAGGAGTATATATTATTATAAAAAATATGCCTAAGCATTGTTTGGCCATAAAACAGGTTTACAAATTAGGCATTATATATTATACAAAGGTGTTATTAGAACCAAAAAGTGATTAGAAAGAGACTGAGAAAAGATTTTTACTCTTAACATTGTTAGCTAATATTTAATTTTGTTTTGAAATATGTTTTCATTGATTTCAGAGAGGGAGAGAGAGAGAGATAGAAATGTCAATGATAAAAGAAATTTATTGCCAAAACCGGTTTGGCTCAGTGGATAGAGTGTCGGCTTGCAGATTGAAAGGTCCCGGGTTTGATTCCAGTCAAGGGCATGTACCTTGGTTGCAGGCACATCCCCAGTAGGGGGTGTGCTGGAGGCAGCTGATCGATGTTTCTAATTCTCTATCCCTCTCCCTTCCTCTGCCCGTAACCTGGGCATGTGCCCTGACTGGGAATTGAACCCTGACCTCCTTATTCACAAGTCAATGTTCAAAACTGAGCCACGCTGGTCAGCAAGATGTAGTTTTAAAGTGGATTTATATTGTTTTTAAAGATAAAATTAAAACATAATTTTAAAATATTTCTTTAAAAGTAATATTTGTGGCTTTAATTTCTTATTCTAGACACAGTAGTATCTAGTAGTATATATGTACTTCAGAAAATATTTTAAATTTTCAACTCAAGGTATAAATTTTAGTTCAAGTGCCTAACATATCCCTGAAAAACCTCTGTTCTAAAAAAAAAAAAAAAAAAAGACTGTATTTTTGTTTTCTTGGCCCAATTTTTAATTGAAAAGGATTTAAGTATTTAAGTATGGTTTAGAATAGTGCCCAACATTTTGTTACTAACTCTAAACTTGCACTAAACTCTAAACTCATCCTTTTTATTTTGCAAATAATAAGTGATATGTATTTATAAAAATATATATCAATGTCACTGTACATGATAACAAATTATCTATTTGGCATTTATTTATTTTGTGTTTGTGTGCTAAGAAGGATCACTAACTATAATACAGACCAGAAATTGGAAATTGGAAATATTGGGTTACAAAACAGTAGGATTAAAAGTAAGGAAAATTGAGATTCTTTGTGTATGTGTGTGTGTGTGTGTGTGTGTGTGTGTGTGCATAGATGCATGTAAAAAGATCTGGAATAACTATAATAAAGATGTAATATGCAAATTGTGGTTATGCCGTGAAACGTAAAGAACAGGTTATGGATCAGCAGGAGGGTGGGACAGAGAGCTTCAAGTGGGCAGTGCAGCAAGCTATGAGAGGGGTACTGGGTGGGAGGGTAAAGGGAGCTACAGGAGGGCAGGGCAGTGGGTGGAGAGCTACAGGGGGGCAGCAGTGAGCTACTTGTGAGGATTCATGCCCAGGGCTACTAGTATACAATAAGACACTAATCAGTACTTGTCTCTGAATAGTATGACTATGGTGCTCTTATTTTTGTATATTTACTGGTGGGAATTTTCTAACTTTCTACAATGTATTTATTTCTTATTTGAAATAAAAAGTTTATTAAATTAAAAAAAAACCACAAAAAATAAATCATTGTCTAAAACTAGCATGCCAAACTCGTGCCCCAAGCCCCACTACCTTGTTTATTTGGCCCATGTTAGCCTTTGAGTTTGACAAGCTTGGTCTAAAAGTTTTTTGTTTTGATTTTTATAATACTGACTTTTTTTCTTTCTTTTCTTGAATGTTTACTTGGTTATTTTATTTTTAAAATATATTTTTATTGATTTCAGAGAGGAAGGAAGGAGAGAGGAACATCAATAATGAGAGAAAATCATTGATTGGCTGTCTCCCACATGCCCCCTACTGGGGACTGAGCCAGCAACCTGGACATTCCCCTAGGACTAATGCTGACTATTGCCAACGAGTCTTTATTTCTGAAAGTGTTTCTTCTTATATATATGAGCAATAAATTTTCATCCAACTAATTGTTAGTCCAATTTAGAGAACTAAAGAGACCTCAAGCTAACAGTCTTTATATAGTGTGTGTGAATGAATGGTTCATAAATTAAGGTCAGATGAGATGATTCTCTGTAATTATTTATATATAATTAGGTAACATTGCTATCATCCTATACTTTAGCTTCCTTCTGGCACATTCATAGTGGCCATCAGACAAAAGCATGAGTCTAGCATAGGCCAGAGGTTAAATGTATTTTCAGAAATGTACTCTATGTTTTTTAATTTGCTCTTGCTATCAGAAATCATATAGTTGATCAAAAATATGTTGTTTATTTAAATAAAATTCTTATAATCACTTGTCAACTGAGATAGAAAACACAACTCTGAAAATAACATTTTCACCATTGTATTAACTATGTAAGCAATTTTAAAATAGCAAGTTTATATAAGAGAAATATAAGATTTGACTGACATGAAAGTCAAGGTACTGATGGGTTTTATAAAACATGTAGTGTCATAACAATTCATTTCATTTTAAATGGGAAGTGATCTAATAGAAATGAAAATGTCAAAGACTTTCTATCCACACATAGAGAGCATTTACTTCCATAGAGGCAAGTCTGAACTATACCCTACCCTTAAACTCAAATAATTTAAATAGATTAAACATAAACTTTCCATTCTAATAATACTTAGATATTTTCATGAATATTTCTATTTATAAGCATTGTCTATTTTTACAATATGTAATGTAGATCATATAAACTACACACTTAATAAGAAATAGGCTCTCACATAGTTAATATACCTAGATAAGTTCAAACATAAAAAAATAATGCTAACATTTTACATCTTAGAATCTCAAGTCCATTAGTTATTTTCAGCTATGTCATGTTGTCTCTCTTTCTACATATGATTCAATATAATTGTTTTTTAAAGTAACTAAATATGAGTCATCAGATTTTCTTCAATATTTACATTTGATAGTAGAGAACAAAAATGCACATGTGTTTATTTAGGGGTTCTAAGAAACTCTTTGATATTACATTTACTTACATCCTATTACTGTGATTCTCATCAGATTTTTGTTTCATCTGCATTACTATGTTCATGGTGGTATAAACTTAATAAACACTTTATGCCTTTATTGGAGTAGATAAGTGACATTGTTCTTTACTTAGATTCATTTGTTTTCTTAGTTAAGAGGGTGTTTGGGGGAAGGGGGACTTTAAAAATTGCATCTCCTTTAAGGAAGGCACCAACAAGCAGTGTCTACTCCCTTCCTGACAGTGCCTCTGCATTGCTACTCTGATCAGCCTTCCCCAAAGTAGCTCGGATTTGAAACAGGAGACCTTGAAGCACTAGGAAACGCTGAAATTCCACAGAAGACACATTAAGGGTTACTGCCTAGGGCAAGGAGAGCCACATTAACACGGATTTTTTCTTCTTCCTGCAAATTGTGATTATTCTGACCCAGAATTCCACCTGCTCTATAAATATGACACATTTTTCCTTTTGAGGAAATGAATGTGATCTGGGTCAGAATCTGATGCAGGCCACTGTTGACAGTTACAGTATTTGTATGTCTCAATGCTTTGATTACAATTTGAGATTCTTCTGTTTTGTCTTAAATATGACCAGGATATACATGAAGTACTAAAAAAAAATAACCTTCAGTATATTCTCCCTCTTCCTAAGCAGATTTTAATGTTTTGAGATTTTTCTTCATGTGTTAAAATAAATTTTTTTCAATAATATTTCAATATGTAAATGTTACATATTATTTAATACAGAGTTTCAAAGAATCTCAGTGGAAATATCAGCAGTATAATATCATCTGTATTCTTTATTTCTAGGATTAATGATGGAAAAATGTCTAACAGTTTCACAGTAATGCCTTCCTTCTTTTTATAGGTAATGTTTACACATATCCTTGATTTTTTGTTTGTTTACAAGTCACAGGAAAGTATACCACTTGTACATTTGATTTTTTAAGCAATCATTCTATGATTAGAGACACCATCCTAAGACTATCTATAACTCACCTATGAATTTTACACCTCTGAGTTTTTCTCCAGATTAATTGAGGTATAATTGACAAATAACTGAATTTGTATAAATAAAACAGTGAATGGGAATTTGACCTCGTGAAATTCAACTCTTTTAACCAACAACATAAACATAATTTTATATGGTAAAAACATAAAATAAAAGGTCTTTGTATGAGCTCAGATCAATTTTGGTAGAGCAGTTTTATCATTGTCTACATAGTTCAAACATATAAATATGTTTAATGCCACAAACAAAACATTGGAAAGTTTTAATTA